GCTGACCCTCCCTCCTAAAACCAAAATACATAAAACAACCCTGACCAGTGTTGACAGTTTTAAATATCTTGGCAGTACAATGTATTCAATTGCCTGCATCGATGCACAATTAATAGCTTTACGTATGAATAAAACTAGTGCATCCTTTGAAAGACCCAAAGCAAGGATTTGGGACTGCTGTGGAATTCGCATAGAGACAAACATGGCGGTATACATTGCTATGACGGTCCTCCCAACTGTGTTGTACGGTGCTGAAAATAATGCATCAAACCCATGCCAAAAAGCTTAATCATTATCACATGAAATTCTGTAAGAACTTTTTTTGGCATCAAAATAATGAAAAGGCAAAATATCAGAAATCGAAGTTCTCAAAAGAGAAAATGCTTAAAGACTGTTTTCTAAATCCAAAAGGACCTAGCTTCTCAGGCCTGACCATTTCGTAAGAATGCCTGATTTCATACTCTCAAAGGTAGTTGGATCCCCCCCCCCTCCAAAAAAAAAAAAAAGTCTACAAAGACAACTTTCAAAAAATAAATTGTGTCTGAAGGACTCCAACATAAATTCTTCGACAAAGCAGAGCATGTAAGTTCAACTGGAGAGCAGCACTCACAGTGGGCAGCAGTTTAAGTTATAATGAGGTTTTAGGAATAGGACATGCTGAAGCCAAGAGAGAAGCCAGTAAACAGCATCTACAAGATAGAAATGACACTTTGAATGCCGGAATTTGTCTCATTGACGACAGCAGAAGCCACAAGTAATCCCTTTATTTCTTCTTGCTCAAGAAATTGGTAATTCTCCTCTGCAGCAGATGCATTGGTCATCTTCATGTGGAGACGGCAGACGGACAAAACGTTATCATAATATATAATAATAACAGTAATAATATAATAATAGTAATAATAATAATAATAATAATAATAATAATAATAATAATAATAATAATAATAATAATAATAATAATAATAATAACAACAACAATAGAACAATAAATAATGATAGGCCTACTTGGTCACGGTACCACTGTCTTTTTTTCTGCCTATCTGACATCTCTAAAGATTACCAGCCTAGAAAAATTAGTTCCATCTTTTTGTAAAAATAAACATCCCGATTGTTCCTTCAAATAAAAATATCAACCAGAAGTAAAAGACATAAGCTTCTGATCTGTAACAGTTAAGAAAGAAACAGAAAGTCATCCTTCCCATCACCCATAAAACTTCTACTATTTTAATAATTTTGTTATAAGTAGGCTCATAATATTATGACCGTTAAAGCATGCTCCCGAATACCATTGTGTTATGATGAACACACTGAGTACGTATCTGTCTTTTAACACTATTAAAGTTTAGGCCTATAATTACTGTTCATTCATATTATATGCATGTGACTATGAGCCTGTTTGTGAGTTCAAGCATACCTTATATTTTTACGGTTATGAGCACAATGATCTGGAGCGGAACACCTGCAAATGAGAGAGCCAAACATGGTGTAGCTTTCATCATACACCCATCCAAAATGGATACAATCTATGAAATCAACCAGATCTCAGAGAGAATAGTGAGCATAAAACTCATAGAAGGTGGCAAAACAACAACGTACATCCAAACATACCCTCCTTGTAACGATAGCTATACAGAGGAAGATTGACAATCATAATTATTTCAAGACCTGAGTGATCACATTGATGTCATCAAAAACAAAATACACATTATATTTATCTTGGAAGATTTAAATGGCAGAGTTGGACAAAGAAGAACCCCCTGGGAAGAGTACTTGGGACCCACAGTGATAAAGATACAGATTGCAACAGCAATGGAGAAATGATACTAAACCTGTGCCCTGAGCACGACATGATGATTACGAACATTTATTTTCCGACACCTACGAAGCCAAACCAAGACCTGGTACTGATGGATTGACCTGAACCACACATCACAAATTGATTTCATCCTGAAGCACAGAAAACAAAGACATACAGCCAAAGATTCGAGAGCTGTGCCAATCTACGTCATCGACACGGACCACAGACCCGTGATATCTACTCTCACAACCAGCAATTAAAAGTAAAACAAAATATAATACGACCAATCTAAAAAAATTGGAAGAACCAGACATCAAGAAGGCAATCGAAGATGGTTTTATCAAGGAGTACAGTAAGCTGTCACCTGAGACCAAAGACGTAGAAGACGAAGGGCAAACATTTAAAAAATCCCAGTCAGAAATACTAAAAAAGAATAGCGGAAACAATGGCAGAGCAACATGCTGGTGGAATGACGAAACCAAAGAAGCAATTAAAATGAAAAAGAAGATATTTAAGAAATGGCAAAAGTCAAAGATCGAAGAGGACTTTTATACATGTAGAATACAGGAAAGCGAGAAGAGAGACCAAAAGACTCATCAAAACTGCTAAAGAAAATGCATGGAAAATAATATTATACGGTGAGAAACTGGTCAACATTTGTAAGGAAAACCCTAGAGAGCTTTATAATAGTGGGAACAGCATGCGAATAATTAGGAAAGATCCAAGCAACCAAACATGCATTATAAACAATAAAAAGGGTAAAGCTATTCTCAACAAGCATGCCAAAGAAAAGAAGAGAAAATTACTTCCAAGAACATCTCAACCCAGACGCTTGCCATGGACAACAAGAAGAGTTCCAACCATCATACGGAGAAGATACAAAACCACCAATACTTCTCAGTAAAATCGAAAAAGCACTCAAAACCAGCCCCAAAAACAAAGCCCCTGGACCAGATGACATCACAGTGGAAGCCATAGGAGGTTGTGGAAACACCGGCGTACTGTGGCTGAGGCAAATTTTCAATAGATCCTGGGAGCAAAGGAAATACCCAGAAGACAGTCAGAAAGCCATAGTGGTACCATTATGGAAAAAGAGAGGCTACAGACAGGGACTGCACAATGTACAGAGGCATCTAACGTGGGGAAAATATTGGCAAAGATACTACAACAGCAGATAAGACCTATTGTAGAGTGAAATCTGAACAAAGCTCAGTTTGGATTCCGAAAGGGAAGAGGGTACACGGATGCTGTATTCGCATTAAGACAGATATGCGAGAAAACAATCGGACACAACAGAAAATCCAACATCGTCTTTATAGACCAGGAGAAGGCTTTTGAAAGAGTAAACCATGCAAAACTCTGGAAGACACTCGAAAAGTATGGCGTCAGAGGACAGATGTTAGATAATGTCAGAGCTCTATACACCAACAGCAAAAGCTCAGTAAGAACGAAGGCAATAGAGACTGGTTCAAAGTAAGATCTCGCGTACGACAGGGATGCGTTTTATTACCCCCCCCCCCCCCCCGCCCTGTTTACACAAAACGCAAGACGCAAAGAAAGTTCCAGAAAGCCTAACTGAACTTCTATTCGCAGATGACCAATGTCTTATTCAATCAAACCAACAAAGCCTCCAAAATCATACTACCGAACTGAACAACAGCTGCGAAAAATGCAACATAAAAATAAACACTTCAAAATCAGAAGTTATGAAAGTGAGCCAAAACCGTAGTCCCCTGAACATCCATGTCAATAGTAAACAACTGAAACAGGTGAAGGAGTTTAAATATCTTGGCAGTACTTTTTCTGAAAACGGGTCCATAGACAGAGAAATAGAAATGCGAACCTAAAAAGCCAACGCTGTTACCTACCAGCTCGCACCCCTCCTATCTCATCCAAACATCTCCATGGACAGAAATTAGATACAGCTCATCACCACAATATTCCTACCAACGTTATGCTACTCGTGACAGTCCGGGAACTCAAGTAAAACCCATGAAAGCAAAATCACCGCATGCGAAATGAAATGTCTCCGCAAAACCCTTAACATCACAAGGCGAGACAGGCAGAGAAATGAGAAGTTAGAGCAGCTATCGCATTGGGTCCTGTCTGAATTACATAGAAAGACAGATAAAATAGTGGTTTGGCCACCTGTTACGTATGTCACCTGGCCAACCAGCCTCGAGAGCCTACAACACCAATGCACTCTAGCTATAAAGGAAGAGGAAGGCCACGCAAAAGGTTGACGGAGGGTGTCAAGTGTCAAGGAAACCATGAGAAAACATAATAATATAATATCACAACTGAAACTGAAAGAGCTCATGCGGAGCTGGCCTACCATAGAAAACTGTATCTCCCCTAGACGGTTAACGGCAAAAAGTAAGGGATAAGTGTATATATATATAAATATATATATATATATATATATATATATATATATATATATATATATATATATATATATGGATGTGCACATGTGCGTATGTATGTATTACAGTTGTGTGTGCATATTTGTTTGTTTGTGTGTGTGTGTGTGTGTGTGTGTGTGTGTGTGTGTGTGTGTGTGTGTGTGTGTGTGTGTGGTGAAACACCAAATCAATGTGCCAGGATCTGGACAATAATGATGTATCTTATCTAGCCGACTGATGAACAAAATGGTTTGGTTTAAAAAACGATATTAGGCCTATAATTATATGTAAGGCCTTTAGAATAAACTCTTTAGATTCATTCCCAGGAGCCTTTCCTGGGATAGTTGTACTATAATTATACTTGCCATGCACACGCATTGGTCTTCATTCTCATTAATTTGAATTAGTCCCTCGCCTAAAGAGAGACTTGCCAAAATGTTATACAGGTCGAATATGTATCGCAGAAGTTCGACTTTGTATTAATTAGAGAACAAGACGGCAAGCGTGAAAACCATGCCACGAAGTTTTCTCAAATTATTTTGGCATCAATAGAGCCTTCAGTTCCCAGGTAACACGTTTGCCTGCTTTAGGATAAACTATAAACTAACTCAGGACGATCTATTATTATTTATATAATTACTATTACTACTATTATTATTATTATTATTATTAGGCCTATTTTGGGGAGCAGTTCGCAGGTGAGGGAGGGAGGCTCTTGTGTGTGGTGAGTGGTCTGGTTGTTTTTTGTTGTCGGCAGGGGACAGGGGAAGTAATTCTTGTTTTCTTTTGCAGTCAAGATGGCGGCTAGTGAGAAGGAAGAATCGGGGTTTGATCGCTTGTCAGATGACGTTATTTTGTGCATATTCAAAAATTTAGATTTAAAAGATTATTTCAACCTCAGAAATGTAAACAAGAGGCTTGCTGGAATATGCATGGACAAATCACTTATACGGTGCGTATACCCTGACTTCTGAATATTGGGTCGAATTTCATGCATTGTAGGGTCCAATCGTTCTGCTGACTCGATCGAGATGATGAGATTCAATTACACACACACATTCTTATGGTTTCGATCAACAGCTAGAATCTAGATCTAGATATAGATCTAGATCTAGATCTAGATTCGATTTAGAATATGGATCCAAATCTCAAGTTTTAGATCTGATGACTTGACGACCTGTCACCTCTTCTAGATTGTCGGTTCTTTTTATGCTTTTTTATGGCGGCTTTATTTCTCCGAACGCTCGGGAAAATAAACTCAACTCTATTTCTCAGAACGGTTTCCGTTCTCTAGATTTTTTGGTTAGATCTACTTGCGAATGGAGGGGCCCGTGTGTGTGTGTGTTATAAGATGGGAACGGGGGGTAGGGATTTTTTTGTGATTTAGTTTTTTCTTTAGGTTAGGGGTGACTGATGCAGGTTAGTGCCAAAGTCGAGCAGTCTTGTTTTCTCGCAGTACCTTTTGCAGGCATTTTCAAATGAAATATAAGTCCGGGAACGTTACCCCAACCACAATTGAAGTAGGCCTATCTGAATATTCGTTTTTTTATTACTCATGATGCGTCCGTCTTGTACGTTTTTTATACTTTATTTCTAGATCTAGATCTAGATCTAGATCTAGTCTAGACCTAGATCTAGATCTAGTCTAGACCTAGATCTAGATCTAGATCTAGATCTAGATTCTAGATCTTTTTCTAGATCTAGATCTAGTAGATTTTGCATGCTGAACACTGATCATATAAAATGACCTACATTTTTCCTGTAAATCAAGTTATTGAATATTGACGTTTGAAAATAGTATTTTTTGACTTGAAATTAACAACATGGAAGGTTTCAGGGCATGCCCCCCCCCCCCCCTTGACCTACAAAGAATTGAGGGGGGGGGGGTCAGAGGGGCATGCCCCACCCACCCGCATTTCATTTATTTATTTGATGTTTTCTTCTATTATATTAGGATTGATACTTCAAAACAATTGGACAGGGTTTTAGTGCCCTTCGTGTTTTCTACTGCAAATTTACGGCAGTTTAGCCATCAAATCAATGCATCTGTGTGTGGGTGCATAAAAAGTAAAAATTTTTAGCTCTAGAAATTGAATTCGATGCTTCTTCCCAGTCCTTGCAGAATGAAAGATGATGCCGAACTCTCACAAATTTATATTTAATAACCAAAAAATCTCGAGAACGGAAACCGTTTGGAGAAATAGAGTTCAAGTTTATTTTCCCGAACGTTCGGAGAAATAGTTTAGTCACTACGTTTTTATAGCAAGTGTCTCATTGATAGAGGCTAAATTGTTTGGTAGGCCAACTGGATTCTTGTTTTGTTTTTGTAGTTTTAACTCTCAGATCTGGAATCTATTTTATCTAGATCTGTATCTAGCTTTAATGTTTGTTCAGAAATCCGACTGAAAAGAAAATTAATCCAAAATGCTACACACCTGCTATTCATGAATGTATGATGTGTACACAAACGGGGAGAAGAAGATATTTTGTCTTTCATTCTGATTGAGAATGACTAATTATATTGAGAGTCGTGCAAGATTCAATAGTGAATAGAATCTAGAGGCCTCATAGTGCACAGCAGGTAACCTTAAAAGTGAAGAATGGATCCTCTGTCACCACTGCTCAAGATATATAAATGGTGAAATAGTACATTTTAATCTCATTGTATTATACACTAGATCAAGGTTTAACCTAGATTTAGAAAGTTTTAGATGAAAGTCATCACAAAATGTAAGCGCTTATAAATATTTTATTGATTTTTAGTTCAGGTGAAGACATTCTGTTCTTGTTGGTGCAAGAGATTTTACTTGTTGATTTAACTAATTACAACTGATTCTCCTGTTTATATATATATATATATAATATGTGTGTGTACTTGCAGTGATACAGCAAATGACATTTTGAGTGGTCAATGAAGATGTAAACTGATTGGGATTAATAGTACTATAGTTACTTTTAGTCAAAAAGAGGTCTAGGCTAGTGGCCTACTTTTGCCTCACCGTAGATCACTTTTGGAAAAGTTTATAAACAAATTCTTGGCCAAAGTAGTTTGATGTCAGGAAAGTTTGATTAGAACTGAATGAATGATGCACAGCATTTGCTACTACAGTGGGGTTTTTCATCAATGCAAGATAATATTATAATTATATATATATATATATAGAGGCCTTATAAATTTTTTTGGAAATGCCTGCAACTCTGTTGTTTACAATGCCAGTACCAGAGTAGGTTTGAAAAGTAAAGCTCTACAGAAGGGTGATTGCCTTCTTGTTTTAGTTCAAATAAACAGACGACTCCCCGAATTTGGTCAAAACTGACTAATTGGGATCTAAGATAAGATGAAATTTAGATTAAAGATAAGATAAACACTTTATTGTCCCAGAGGAAAATTTTACCTGGCTGTACATGGCTGTAAAAAAACATACATACAATTTTAAGGCCGGTGCTAGCCGCCCAATCTGGGATGGCTAGCGTTTTGCTACTCGCACAAATTTGGTCTATTAGCCTGACACTACGGGCCTGTGGGGATTTAGAACTGCGACATTGGGTGACCAACATTTTTCTGCCCACCCTGAGCCGGTCACCCAGATATAGTATTAGGCAGCTTAAACACGGCCTTGCGACCTTATGAGCGACATGAAGCTATAGACAGCACCTAGCACCCCTCTGTGATTGGCCCAAATATCTAATACATGACATATTTCCGCCTTTTATTTTTCTGTCCTCATACGAATTCACGCCTGCAACCGCAACTTGCGCATTCAACTTATGCCTTCAGCGCAACTTTTTTGCTAATTTTTCTTGCAGCTTTTGCAACTTTTGCTATTTTCAAATGCAACTTTCTCTGGGGTTTCCCTCGCAAGTTGACTAGATCTATCACTCTTTATTATTATTCATCAGAATGCGGGTGACAAAGACACTAAAAATAAAAATGCAGCGTTGTAATGTTATCAAAGATTCTCTACTTCCAAGGTGTTTCAATTGCCCTATCTCGCGTCCTAGCCAAACTTGGGCACGACCTTGTTTAAGCGCGTGACGGCCCGTGATACGAGTGTAAACAAACGTTCCAGCGCTGAGCTGAAAGTGAACAGTTTTATCTGCGGGCAGAGAGAGAAAGAGAGAGTAGGGGGAGGAGAAAGAAAGAGAGAGAGAAGGGGCCAGAACACGGAACATGCGAAAAAATCCCCTCAGGCCAGAAGCTTCAGGCTAATTGACCGAATTCGTTCGTGTAGCAAAACACTAGCCACCCCAGATCGGGCGGCTAGCAACTTGGAAATTTTGAATTATGTTATAATATTATTCTCATTTTAACGTTCTTGATATGAAAAAAAAAAATGAAGCTTACAAATGTTCATTTATCAGATGCATCAGATGGAACATTGGCAAATTAATTACCTTCTACAGAATAAACAGATTTTTGAGTTTAGATCTTTACACTCGGTCATAGATCTCTTTTAAATCCCAGGTCTCCAATTATCTTGCCAGGTAAGAATGAGAAAGTGTTTAATCCGATAGATTTTTGTGGAAATGTAATTGTTCCGTTTTTGTGGGCCTATTTGAGATAGGGTTCAAGTATAATGAACTGCAAGTAGGAAGTTCTTCTCATTATATACACAGTACACAACAATGTTAAAACCCTATCCTACTGGTCCTGTTTATTTTCACCTTAAGGCCAGACTCTACTTACTTCTTAGTACCAAAATTTGTACTAATTAAGTGATTACTTGGGTTTTTTCTCATTTTCTCAAAAAAGGAAAGATGTTCCATTCAAGGATTGAAAAGAATCACTTTTGGGAATCATTGTCAGTTACTTATTCTCAGAAATGGCAAATTAGAGTGAAACCAGGCTATCTGAAGGATCTTTTTCAAAAACTCAAAACTCAAACTGGCATTATAATTTTATTTTGAATTGCACGGTGCATTTACCCTCCTTGAGTTTTTAAACTTTTAAAGCCCAGATAACGTTTTTAGGAAAGGAGCAAAAACATTTCAAAATTGCTTTAAAGCATTGCATTGGCTCACAATGTTAAAAACTTTATTGAGCTGTACTATCTCTTTGAAATAGAGCTTTGGGAGTATCGATTTAGACCATAATTTTCAAGGGAAATTTCGTAAAACTCAAAAAACGTTTTCTGAACCCACACTTGACCTAAAAACACGTGTGCAGCCTTAATAAGCATGTTTGAGCACCTTCGTTTTATTTTCAGTCCCGCACCTGTGTATCATGATTCCTTATCTTGTGCAATTTATGTAATTACTTCGCCCTGGGTCCTGAATATCTGCACAAAAGCAAAGTGGGGCAAGTGTGCAAATTAGTCTACTTTTGTTTGCGCGCAGAAATATAATTGAGTTTCGCAATACATAACATCAGTGCTGATGTCACTTTTTTGTTCATCCAATAGAATTTCAGCTGAAATTACTTTGTGTGACCTCTTTAGACCCCAAACTGGAAATGATCCAGGACACAACACCTCCATTCAACCATTTTCACTTGTTTCAAACGAGCTTGCTTTTACACAAAATATTCCATGTTGAAAGTTATATAATTTGAGCTGTTTTAAAAAAAGAAGGTGATCAGCAGATTAAATTTGGAAGTAAATGATGGAAAAAAATATATTTAGAAATGAGCGATATTTTTCACCCTTTGAACCACTATAATATAATATGTCCTACTATTTTTAGAAAAGTCATAAAATTTGTGTTTATGTAACTCATGGTAACTCAGTATTTTATATATATATATATAAGGCTTGCAAATGCTCCAGAGGGATTATTTTTAACAACTCTTAGTCTGGTCTTAAGACTGTGTCATTAACTTTTGCCAATCATATTCCCTGGTGTGACTGTTGTTGGACCCCAGCTCTTATAATCACTTCCAGGGAAATGAAAGACAGTCATGGATAGAGCAAGGCACCCAGTGCTTAATCTTCAGAACCAGAATTAAAGTAAAGAAATGTGTCCTTATTTGTTGTGTGCTTTCAACCTGCTGTCATGTCTTTTGTCCTAGAAAAGTTTAACAAAATTCTATACTTGCATTTTATATTGGTGAGCACCAGATTAAATTTGAGACATCATTTGTATGTCATCTATTATACTCTCCTGGAACAAGAACTGTCCAAATCTTTTTTACCCAATGCTGTTAATTTTTGTTTTGTTTCATTTACAGGCACTTATCTTTTGCTCGCAATTACTGGCTCACAGCTGATAAATTCCAACAATATGTGAAACCTGTACAAGACAAAATCGAAACTTTGAATCTAAATTCTTGCTACTGGCTCAGACCGTCAGGGCTAGATGTAATTTCCAGCTGTAAAAATGTGTCGTCATTGCACCTCATACAAGTGCGGATTTCCATCAAAAACTTATGCAACATCATGTCAAGCTTGTCGTCATTAACCAGTCTGTCATTCTCAATGTCTGACATTCGAGACTTACATCCGGAGCTGTCAGCTTCCCCTGGTGCGCAGGAATGCCTGGCCCGGCTTGTATCCCTGAGTCTGCACTTCCGACACCAGCTTGTCTACTCAAATCGCCCTGTGATAAATTTTTGCTCTGGACCCACATTGTTTGAGTACTGTAGAAACTTGGAGGAATTCCACGTGTATGGTTTTCCCAGCAATGCGAGGGGGATTCCAAAGTATATATTTCAGCCTCAAATTCTAAAACCTGAAAACTTGAAAAATATCAAGGTTATGACCTTGAATGATGCAATGGATCCTGCAGCGAGGATGTTTTTCTATGGCACTTTGCTAGCTGTGTGTAAATTATCTGTGAAATTTAGGACTTTGCTCCAGCCATCGGGGAATGTGGACCAGCTTTGGAGTATGGAAGGATATGCAACATGCTTGCAGAACATGGAAGATCTAGTCAATTTTGACCCATCGCGGACAACATTCCAGATACCTAGTGAGGTGTTACATTTTGAGTCAGCTCGTAATCTGCAGGTAAGAGGTTAAGAAGTAAAGGCTGACATATGCAATTCCAGAATTTAAAGAGGGTAAGGTGATAAAGTTGCAATAAGAGACACTCCCTGGCTTTTCCATAATGAAGTTAAATGTCTATTTAATTTTTAAAACAAATTAGAAGCCTTATTTGTTTGTATCAGTTTTTGCATGTGATATTCTATGTTAACTTTTTTGTATTCTGGGCTGGTCCTCTTTTTCTACCAGAGATGAGCTCTACCCTCTTTGGAAAGGAAATTATAAAACAAATACCTGTTTTTCCTATACTTTCTACCCCTGTGTCTCTGCCAGAAAGGCTTTTTGTTCTTCTGTATTTTTTGTCTAAGAATCCAGGGGTCATGAATGAAATGAATATCTTGTTTCTCTCCACAGTACTTGAACCTGTCAGACAATGCTGCTGTGACATCCAAGACCCTACATCTCCTCGCTGACACCTGTCCCAAGTTGACTAGCTTAAACCTACAAAACTGCAATTACATCTTGCTAGGCCCTGTACAGGTGAAGGAACCTCTATCCTGTTAAACTTTTTAGAAGTTCTACCTGTTGCACTTTTTTTTGGGAAGTATAATTGCCCATATGTTTAAGTATTCTGTTTACTCAACGAATTTACAGTGCCTTTCCACTAATTCATGTTAATGCCTATCCACTGCTACAGTAAGTTATTTGCTTGTGTGTTGTACAGACACTTGAAGTTTTAATGAATTCAACTCTTCCTTCCAAAATAGGTTTTTGAGGAAAAAATCATGTAGCTTTGTTTTGGAGTGTATTTTTTTCACTGCTTATCAAAATTGTTCCTTATACTGTGTGTCTGAGAAATTTATTTTTAAGGGTGTGGTTTCACAAATGAAAACTGAAAATTATCAGAACCATTGAATTGAAACATCCCTCTTGTCTGCAGTTTTTTAAAATATTTGAATTTTTTACTTGATAATTAAAATGGTAGATCCTAAATATGAATACTGTACACAGATTTTATATATATATATATATATATATATATATATATATATATATATATATATATATATATATATATATATATATTTCTGATTGTATGCATCCTGCCTTCATAGATAACTTGTTCATGCACACACACAATCACACACACTAACACACACACACACACACACACACACACACACACACACACTTACATTCACACGTATTCCTGTGTACACATATTCATCCTTTCACCACCTAATCACTTTAATATGATTTGAATTTTTTGAATGTATGCTCATGTTTGCTACTGTCCTCTTAGGCCAATGCAGAGCAGCGGTGTACGTACAATGACATCAGTGGTCTACAGGCTCTCTTGCTGTCCTGTGTGCAGCTGCGCAGCCTCAACATTAGTGGCATCCATATTCACACGCAGGATCTGTCAGCCACACCTTTCAGTAGCTTGGCTACTATCCTCGCCCTCAACACAAGTGAGTCTTTGCTATTTGATTGGGAAAATGACTGTCTTACTTTTCACCTCTGTTTCTTACTGTGGTGGGATTTATTATAACACAATTTGACTTAGTTCTATTGTTGGACTTTGCTTGACTCCCACCAGGGCAGTGCTACTGACTGAAGTGTCTTTAGGCCATTCCCAAAGGGGGGATATTAACATGATATTATGCACAGTAGAATTGTAAATGGGCTGATTTATCAATGTCATGCTCATACTGTGCCAGAACAACATAGGAGGAACTGTTGCTTTTTCTTTCTTCATACTTACTTTCGCCAATTTTCCTCTACTTCTTTTGCATGTTTGTCACTCTTGTGAACTGCTATTTCCGGGGTGGGTGCCTTGATAGTCGAAGCAGACTTTGTGCTGTTGAGGCTAGAGAGCTGAGCAGAGTAAGCCTGATTCCCCGTTTGGACTTTTCTGTTGACATCCTCCTCATGGTGCTCATATGGCCTTATACAGCTGCGAGTGCCGTAAAACCTTTTTACCCTCCGGGGCAGTGCCACTGACTAGTGTCTTGAGGCCGTTCCCAAAGGGGTGACATTTATCGTTCATGCACAGTAGAATTGTAAATGGGCTGATTCATCATGTCACGCTCATAACTGTGACTGATCTACAACAGGGAACTGCTGCTTTTTCTTCCCTAATCCTTACTATTGTCATTTTCCTCTACTTCTTTTGTATGTTTGCCACACTTTTGTGACCTGATATTTCCGAGGTGCCTTGATAGTCGAAACAGACTTTGTGCTGTTGAGGCTAGAGAGGTGAGTGGAGTAAGTCTGATTCCCTGTAAGGACCTCTCTGTTGACACCCACCTCTTGGTGCTCATTTGACCTTATACAGTTGCGAGCACCGTAAAACCCTCCACAAAAAAAAAAAAGCCTTACTAAAACTAAAAAAGTTTTAAAAAACTGAAACTTTGCTTTAGTGTATGCAGACACAATGATAGTAGTAGTAGTCTACTTTTGGTATCTTTTACCAGGTCTTTCGAAATAACAGTATGACAGATTTTAATAAGTGTTCATATTTGCTTATGGCTTAAGGTTTTTTTTAGACAAAATTTTTCCCTAACTTAGATTTTCATTTCCTTTACCCTGTTAACATTCTTGTGTGATCAATCCAATGCCTCTTTACTCCCCAGATTGGAAGTGTCTCTCCATATCTCCATGCTGTTTGAGTGTTGAAAAAAGTTCAAAGAATAGCAAACGAACTTTTTCCTTATTACCCGAGGGTTACTTGGTCAAGAGACGGAGGATAGGCTCAGGGGCTGCTTCAAATCAGAGTTTAGCAGCGGTAAGTTGCATAAGTTTCTTTAGCACAGACATGTCAAGAACTAGTAGTTAATGATTAAAAGGTTTAACTGACCTTTTAACTTTTTTATGGACCGTTTCTTTGCGCAAATATTCTAGTTTAAAAAAAATAATTTACACACTCTGATTTGTGAAATATATTTCTTTCCAAATGAGACCTGTTTTCTTAAAAAATTGTTTCTTTGATCTTTTGCAGTGTTGAAATTTTCAGTTATGGTTTTTTTTTTCTTTTTAATTGTATCAGACTCAACTCCAAGGCTCAAACTCCCCGTCAACCTCACAAGATGATCCATTAGCATCTTCTTCATCACCTCCATCTTCCTCACCAACAACAGCCAATCCTGAAGAGTCTGGGTATGTGCCGGAGCTAGAGAAACTTGTGCGAAGCTGTCCAGACATGGAGAACTTTGAGCTTAATTGTTCTGGTTTTAGATCTGCATTCAATAAGTACTTTGGTGTTCACCCTACAACCTGCACCTCCAGCCCCTGGTAAGTTGTGATCTTCTGACATCTCTTCTCACATTCTAACATTGATCTCTGTTGAGGTCGTATATCACTTGCCAACAGCTTTGCATCTTTATAATGAGAGTAGTGATTATATCAGTTCTTAACCCTAGAAGCGCTCAGCGTTTCATCGGAAGTAACCCGCCAAAAATGCCCCGCTGCTCCGGCCGATCAGTTGTAAACATGGAGGTTAGGCGGGAGGATACTAGCTGAGATACCAGAGATGTATACCTCCTACTGAAAAATGACCATTTACGGCTCAGCAGATGATAAAAGGCATATAAAACCGTATCTTTTCTTAAAGCTGATAGAATGAGCCATTCAAAAATTTGAACGACAAGCGATCAAATAAATAAAAACAAAGCACAAAAGGCGATAAACTCAACCATTAGTACATCAGCACGGTGAAACCAGTGATAACACATAGCGTGTAGTCGCTCAGCTGGACTGCGTCACTTTATCGATCGATATCTCGGCCAAGAGACGCTCTACGAGGTCAAGATAACTTGCATAGTCATTGGTCACTATTTATAACTTTGACCTGTAATTTACTACGTCATTTTCCTTATAAGGAATACTGAAATTTTCCATTGAAAAAGGTCAGCGTCTATGCCCTTTATTTAGGGCCTGCGCGTTTTCCGGTCGAAGTAGGTCAGCCCTATATATAGGGCCTGAGCGCTTCCCGGGTAGCCCGGCTCATGCCCTTTATATAGGGCCTGCGCAAATCCAGGGTTAATATTATGGACTGCTCAAGTAAATATTAAAGATTAGTGTTTTAACCAGTTCCTTTTTCACCTGTTGATGCCTACATTGTAGTTTACTGCTTCATTGGTTTATTTTGTTTATGGACATCTTGGAATTCAAATTCTTTGTCAGAAACTGGATGTTTGTCTTTCTTTTCAGCATGTTTTCCTTGACAGTTGGTGATGGGGAATTGCTCTGCATTGGTCGATGGAAATACTTAAGATCTCTACAACTCACTTCAATACCTGGTATGTGCAGCCCTGTATTTGATGAGTATCAGTGTTTTTATATAGGCCCTATTGATTTTTCTCACTGTTTGTCAAAACAAATGACCATATATTACGGTGGACTTCAAGAAGTAACTGCAAGATAACCTGAGAAGCTAACGTTTCCAGGTTTTTAAAAAAATTGTGGAAAGATGATGACTATGAATAGGCTACCTCGCTTCACCTTAAAGTTTATTTTGGAAAGTACCAAACAGTTTAATCAGCACAGCTGAAGCTGCATCAGCCAGCTGACCTTGTGACCCTGAAGAGATATGGTACTCGGCCTCAGCACATCTGGAGGGCCATGAGACATTTGGAACTCATTATAGTTTCCAGCTTCTTCCCTTGGAATCCAACTGATTCTGTTTGCGTTGTTGATAACGGTTTTGGTCATTTCCATGCTGTAAACTGTGGAGATTTTATCAAGTATGTCGCAAAGTTGACTTTTTCCTCGTCCTTTCTAACAAGACTATATCTGTCAATCAGCGAACCTTAAGTTCATTATTGTTTTGCTGTCAAATGTAACTGTCCCATCATGATCTTCTATTGCGTTGGTCATAATTGTTTCCCAGAGATAGTTGGAAACAGCAAACTGTCGTAAGTCAACTGTAGCTTTGTTAGACTGTGCTGGTAACCTCTTGTGAAGATTGTCACTCAGTCTGGTCAGATTGGCATTGATCTTGCCGAGCTTCAGGGATGTCCAAAGTGCTGCTTTCCATACCTTGTCTATGTTTTTTCACAGCCCATGAAAATGTGCTAGAAGTTTAGTTGATGCTGAAGGTACTTGATTGGATCAGTAGTGATTTCTAGTGAGTGTTTTTATTATTTTCTTCTGGTGATGCCAATATTTAGAAGGTTCTTTTCATAGGTCCTATGTCTGTTCCCCATCTCTGTTTTTCCTTTCTTCTTTTTTCCCAGTCTTGAAATACCTTTTTTGTGGCCATGTACTTGTTTTTCTCTACTCGAATGATTTGTTTAACAAATCTATTGCCATGACTTTTTTCAGGGGTAAACCAGGGTCACTCTCTTCTGGCAATAGCCAAAGGTTGTGTGTCCTTAGAGCAGCTCTCCATTGCCTGCCTTGGCCAGATAGCCCATTGCCTGTACAGGGGAGGTCTCCTCGCTGCTTTCCCTTTCTTCTTACAGCTCAGAGACTTTAGGTAAGAGCTTGTTGCGTTTTACAAGTGCCATTACTTTTTGATTCATTTACTTTTTAAAAAGACGTGTTTGGTTTGGGGGCACTCTTGTGTATTTTTCTGCTTTTTTTCTTTCATCCTTACCTCTCCTCCTTCTTTTCCTTGAATGTTACTCTCTAGTAATACCTCCAATCTTCGACACTTTTATGACCTATTTGTGATGCAAGTGTCCTAAAATTTGTACTGAAACTTAATTTTTTAAAGAATATTTTGATGATTATTTTTGTAATAATTCTTTATTTTTTGTAAATATGAGCTAATCTGTTTTGAAACTTTAAAAAAAAAACTAAACGGGACTGTCATCCATAGTCACAAATCAGAAATGTAGTAAGTAAAATCTGTTTTATTTCATCATTCAGGATGTTTGTTTTTTTTTGGGGGGGGGGGGGGGGGGGGTTGTTGATTATCTTGAAAATCTGCTTCTGTCACCATTCTACTACGAAAACTTTTTGATTGAATAGATCATCCCCTGTGGTCATAATGATTACACTTTGTGTAATTGTGTCAACTCCTTCATGTTGCAGGTTAGAACACCCGTACATGAAGGTGGATGAGATGATGCTGTCTGCCATGTCCAAGTGCACCACACTGGAGCGAGTCTGTATTATCGCCAAGAATGGGACCATGGATACTGAGGGAGTCAAGGACTTTTTTGAACAGGTAGGCCGGCAGTTAACACTGCAAAGTTTCTTTAGAATTTCAGCAGCGTTCGTTTATTTAGTTCCACTATTTTGTAGGATATATATGCAACTGTAAATGTAGGTGCTTTACAGTCAGTGGATCTTTAAATATTTGACCATTTTTCAGAGATTTACTTTTTTATGACAGAGTTGCTGGAAATTTTTCTTAGGGCCAGTATCTGGTTCTTTTTTCTTAGTTCGTATAGTTGTTTGTCCAAAGTTTGATTAACTGTCCTTCCTCTTTCTAGGTATGGAATAACTGGACTTGAACAAACATTGGAGCGCATGCTCATGCCCACACACATTCACGCCCACACACTCATGTTACACTTGTGTACCTGCAATAACAGCTCGGTTGTGTCATGGTCTGTAGCTATGTCTCTCTCAATGTCATCAGGTCCGGAGTCTGATCAGCTTTCAGCTGTACACGGGAAGGTCCCTCAGTGTGTGTCGAGGCTTGCAGGCGTACCTTATGGGCCGGTGAGTAGTCTGTTGCCTCCACGGGTGTTAAGCCAGCTTGACGTGTCTCTTAAATGGCGGAAGGACGTTATAGTTATAGTTTTTTTAATTGGCTTTTAGACTTGGTGTATGAAGACTTTTAGAAATTGAAAAATTATTTGTCAACCTCAGATGGATACCTAAATGTCAGAGAATCAGATTCAAGGGAGGTAGTAACTATTTACCGTATGGTTTTCTCTCCTATTAATGAATTCGTAAATCAAAGCTGCATATTGTACGAGAAACATTATCGGAAAAAAAGGAACTGGATGTTCCCATTAAATTAAGGACAGTTAACAGCTCCCCAGCATCTCATCTCAAGTTTTTCCTTCCCTCTCACTTCCCATGTGCAACAAGTGTTGAGAGAATGGCTTTGTTTTGTGCGTCAGGCTCTAAGCCTATTGAACGGTTGTTGTGTGACGTGTATTGACAATGGTAGGCCACTATGAGCAGAGAAAAAAAAAGGAAAGGGAAGAGATTGATGGAACAATCCAAAATCCATTTGTGTTATCCAAATCTACTAGACTGGAATGTTTTATTATGTTAAGGGATGATGCTGTGCATAGAATAAAAAAGGGGAAATGGGGATTTAAAATCTTTTCTTTCATGTCAACATGAATTTCGGCGTTCAACATAATCTTCTGTATATGCACTCTGCTGGCAATTTAATGCATCTGAAACTTCAGTCTTACATGAGATGTGAAATCTTTTTTATTCTTGAGAGTTATAGCAGAAGCTTGAAAAGTGTTCATCTTTTTTATTTCGAAGTTCCAGAGTGGCTTTCTTGGCTCCTGCTTGGCATATTGTGTTCCATTTTGTTTTGCATTTGTCACTGTCCTGTTTAACCTCTTCATTACTATGTAGACAAATGTACTCACTTGTGCTCTCCATAACTAGTTTACTGTCATTTTTATGTACTAGTTCATAGAGGGTATTAGACTGTTTTGTTTTCTTATTAATGGAAAATATACAGTATATACCCGGATAGGTCGAACACAGATTACTCAAAATCATGCATTCGTCAACTGCCTGCGGTCCCGTCTTTTGTTCTTCTTTATCTTTGTAAAAAAATTACGCAAAGCTGGAACAGAAACTCGGAACTGTCGAACTAATTACGCCGCCGTAGAGATCTGAAGTCAATGTCCTTTGAGGTGCACTTGAGACAAAATAATAATAGGCCTAATAATTAAAAGAAACGGAAAAAGGCAAAGTCGGTAAAATACCCCACCCCCCTCCACAGAAGCAGCCAGCTGTGCCTTTTTTTAGCACGCTGCTTGACATGCGTGTCCTCTGCACGTGCCTAGGTCCTAGGCCTAACTAGGCTTGTGTGGACCGGGTGAGAGGAAGGGTTGTGCATCCAGTGATCGGCCTCCCCACCCCTCTTTGCAAAAGACTGTGTGCTTGGTGGGAGAGGCAGGGTAGGGCTGCCTTGTTTTGTCATCGCGTTGTTGATTACTGTTGTGGTATTCTTATCTTGTCAAATTATTTTTATTTTGAAAAATTTGAAAAGGCGCCGTTCGATTGGTGCAGATTAAAGACTGCTCACACTGACCTGCGCAATTAAACTGTCTTGGTACTGGTATGCTCATTACCGATCGAACTCGAAAGAGTTGTTCGTCGTGTTTCTCGTTCTCAATCGGTCTTTTTCAAATTCTCTAAAATTTCAAATTTAAGTCAATAGGCATAGAGTGGTGTCGCCGGTACGCGTGCACTTCGCGATCGTTGAACGTATTTTCCGCCATTTCCGGCTTTGTACTTTCATTTTTAGCTATTCCATTCAAGAAACTATTGACCTATAAAATGGTCTTGCTCATAGTCGCCAGATTTCTTAAACGTTGTGTGCCGAACAGTTTTTCCAACCTAGGGTGTTGTCTTCACTGAGCGTGCA